CCACTGAGAGCTAGAACCCAATCCAGAATAAAGAATAAATAATAAATCAATGAACTAACATACTTATTTTCATAGAAAATATACATACTCGTTGAACATAGAAAATCCTCCTTTCTGATTTTGAATGAATTCGTAATAAACAATCTTTTGTTTTTTAGGCTGAAATAAACATATCATCAAAATATTTAGGTGGTATATGATCAAAAGAGTCGTTTGAGCAATATCAGGATACGCAACAATTGCTTCAAAAGTTCCGATGTTTAAGGCCAGGCGCGTATATTTAGATATAGACTTGCAATAAAGTGAACACCTACTTCAATAAGTAATAAAGGTTTTATTCGATTGAATTTTTAATTCTACTTCTGTAATAACCCATACCTATAGACTTGCAATAAAGTGAACACCTACTTCAATAAGTAATAAAGGTTTTATTCGATTGAATTTTTAATTCTACCTCTACAATAACCCTGTGTATAGCGCTGTATTAAAAAAAAAAGTTTAGCAAAGCTTATCATCTTAACAAATATTCTCAATTTAGCACCGAAAATATTATACCCTCGTTTAGAAGTAGAAGTTATCCAAAACAGAAAAACATGAAGCTATTGTAAGACAACAATCGGGATCCTCTGATGTAATAAATCAAATTTAAAAATTGTATAATATATTTGTAAGATTATTCTTTGTTTACATAGTCTGTTTTTTATCATCAGTAATTAATTTTCAAATTATTTGTTTTTTAATGGATAAACCTATTTGAAAATAAATATGTTTTACCATATCGATTTCTACTAATACGATAATGATTGAGGCAAAATCTGTTAATGATATAAAAAGACTGTTTCATCATAGAATGCATCAGTTCTGTGACAACGCACAACTAGTAAAGGTAAGAAGAAATCATATATTTTCACATTTAATTAATTTACAAAAAAAACACAATTTAATGCATTTTGGACTATTATTTTAGATGATTGCATAATTTAAAACGTAGTTCGAAGGTGCACTATTTAGGCAACTTTCATGTCGATACCCTTTGGATTCAATTGGCGTATAAACCAAAAGACTTTTCAAAAGATCCAATAGTCGTTTTGTTTTTTCATACAAAAATTTATATTTTTGTTTTAAAAGTTAGCAAAAAATGAAAAGAAATCTGAGAAAAAAGATATATATAACCCAACTTCATTAAAATACGCCTAATAAACCCAAAGGTATCGACAGGAATTTTACGATTGCTAGTTCCTCCGTGCTTCAAGCACGATAAGTCGTTGGTCCTGCATGCGTAGCATGACGAACTCGAGAACGTTTTGTCTACACTCAAATGTCACTTTTCTCGGGTGCGCCCATACGATATCTCACTCTCGACCCGAGAAACTGACAAATGAGTGTAGACAAAGCGTTTCTCGAGTTTGTCATGCTACCCGTGGTGGATGCATTTGGAACCAATAACACTCACTAATCAGCACTGGGCTTACTTCATGCATTCATTGCGGCCTGTCCCTTCCCTATATGATTATATTCGATTCCATCTTTAGGAAAAGTCTGTATCCTAGCAGTTTTAGGATATTAATAGGCTGGAGATGATGCTAACGGTACCGTGACATTATTGTTATAGTTAACTTTAGATTCTAATCTTAACGATAAATTGCTTTAATAGGTACAATAGTTAAAGGTGAAATTAAGAAGAGTCATTTATAGCGTTAAAAAATTGTTACGAAGTGATTATACACAATGGTCAATAGGTAATATAAAATATTTTTAACTCGGTAAAGTATATAATTTATCACACTAATGATTATTATCGTATTTCCAGATGAACCGTGTATTCCTTCTCTTCTTGTTCGCGTTGGCGGCTTGCTTCGCCTTACCCACAGAGTCCATCAATAAGGTCTCCGTCGACCACCCAGTTGACAAGAGGTCCGTATACTACTACAGATACCCATATGACAGCACCTACTACTACGACCCTGCTGCTGGCGGACTCTACTACCCCCCCTACCGCTACTACTATTAAGAAGACCGGAGAACTATCAAAGACCTTTATATTGTATGACGGCATTTGAATAAAAGTTATGTAAACAGTGAATACTTTTTTTAATTTTGAAAACAAAAGTTCTTAAAATTTACTTCATAATTCTGAAAAAAATAAAAGCTTTTTTTAATAACAACCAAATTTATTCGAACTTACATCAGATATAATATCGCAAACTGATATGAAAAAGTTCTTATAATTTTGATAGTTCTTACGTGCCTATCTATTACTTATGTAATCATATACCAATTTATCAATAATAGTGACATGAGGGCCATTGCTGACAGCACTTAAGTTCTCGATTAGCACAGGTTGAAAAAAAGACTTCGTCAAATCTGAGTTTCTCGTTTCACTTCTCAGTTTAAATATGAAAAAAAATATATAACTGATGCCACCTTACCTGAATGTAAATTTAAAAAAAATAACTAAATTTAAGATTAAAGCGACGGATTCTTAAAAAAAATCTCAAATAAAAAGAACACTCATAATACTTAAATACACATCTGCACATAAGGTGAAGAGTTTGATTAGAGAAGCATGGCCTTTTGTATGTTTTCGATTATACATCATGTGTTACAATAAAAATAGGACGCATCATGATCCTTTAGAAAACAGATTTAAAAAAATATATTTAATATCCAGTTAAACAAAAACTATTGAACGCACTATTATTATGTTATGAATCAATTATAGATCTATTTATACTAATTAAGTATCTTATATCAATTTTTAAATGACCTACGTATCTGATGAATACCTGATTTGACATTCAAAGAAAGTATACGTAGCGAAACGAACGAACAAAGACGAATTCGAGACAGTCTTATCTACATCGAAATATCACTTCTCTTGGATTCACCCATACGACATCTCACTCTCGATGCGAAAAAAAAAGTTTCTATATTACGTCATGCAACGAATAATAAATGGATGACCAAAATTAATTTAAAAAATATCTATTGTGAGCTAAAATTAGTTCTAAAAATATCAGAGAAAAAATATCATTTTTATACAACTTTTTACTTCTATACAACTTAACAACAATGTAGCCTCACCATGTAGGTCTGAATACACTTTAGTGAAAAATGATTAAAAATCTACGAGACCTAGACAAATGTGATCGAAGCAAACTTGCTGATGATTTGCAAGAAGAACGTACTTTACAGCGACTATTAAAGATAACGTAAATGCTTTGTGAGTAACGATAGCAGCCGATCGAAGATTGACATCTCAACAGATTCCGACAATTTTGAGCATCGATATGAATCATGTAATAAAATCTTTTACTATCACTAAGCGTCACGATGCTTTGTTCCTCATAATCTTGCGAAACAACAAAAACACTATCTTTTGGGTTGGGATGGCACTATGCTTGAAAAGTATGGTGGGGTTACTCAAATACTGTATATGATATCCTCAATAGTGATAACAGCTGGATGTAGTGTGAAGACTTTGAAACTAAAAGAATATCCAACAGATGTTTCCAGTCTAAGATTTGCCGGCGAAACTTATTTTTGTCTTGTTTTTTGATTGGACGAGCCCTTCCTCAACATATAAGATAAAAGGACTATTACCACAAATTTTTCAACAGTAGCGCCCGAGAATCTGGATCCTCTATCACATCATATTTCAGGTGACTCTGCCTGAGGGACTATTGAATATTTGTATTTGAAAGGAGTGAATTAGTAAGTCATGCGCATTACAATTCCGATCTGACACCAATGTGACACAAAAATAAAAGGTTAACTCAGAGATTTTTTTTTCTTCTGTTATTTGGAGATGTCTTGGCAGCATTTTAATAAAGCATGAAAGAGATCCATAGAGAAATATGAAGCCACCACTTTACCCATCGCATGTGACTGTGAAAGTTCAAAAATCAAGGGACACTTTTAAAGGCAATAAAATTTTATACATGCCTACCGGTTCTCCAGCTTTATTTCTTTTAAAAATTATCAATATGACCCACAAAAATGATCATATGACTGACATTGTGTAGTTAATACATGCATGTTTTTTCTGATTGGAGCCTTAGATTATATATATTGGAGAGTAGTTCTATACGTAGCTCGTTTAGATAAAAGACCTGGCAAACAAACGTTTACGATATTTTTAGAGTTAATTTACATGGCGATAAAAATTAAAATGATATTGGGCTTATTAAAACGATCACACAACTCAATAAACAAAATACAAAAAGGTGAAAGAAATAAATGTGAAACATACAAACGGTACAGTAACCTTAATATATTACTTTCGACAGATCTAGCAAAAAATAGTTTGCTTGATAAAAAAAAATCTAATAAATCGGCTAGATTTATATTCAAATAGTAAATAAAATAAATGACTTTAATATTAAGTATAACTTTCGAATTTCTTGGATATCTTTGTTCTACAAATGAGTTTTCTTTGTATTGATTTAACAACAATAAATTTCAATAATTCTTTACCAATAAACTATCTTGTTAAAGATCAAATTTCTGCAAATCATATTTGACTTTACTATCAACTGGTTAATATTGAAATATCGATTAGAAAAATTAAGTTTTAGTAGTAATCTGACGTTCTATCGACCATATACTAAAATTTATATATAAATCACACTTAATCTTTTTAATCTAAATGTCCTAATCGAAAACCCCATTAGCATCTGAATCTACTATCATGACACAACAATTTATTGATTTGGATACCCACTTTTCACTAATTTAATGGTACTTCTTGCACCACAATCACAAAAACTTGTTGGTAATTTGAGGTAGAACATTATAACTAATGCAAGAAGAATATATTGTATTAAAATTGTTAAAATATTCCTAGCTTTTTTACGGTCAAAACAATCTCATTTTCCTATTTAATATTAACTAAGGAATTTCTACCAACAAATGAAAAAAAATTGCACTTTTCAAATAACATTTAATTGCATGCCGTCAAACAGTGTATGTAAGATCTTCTGACAATTTCCCTGGCTTTCTCAATAGTAGTACCGGTAGGGGTAGTAAAGTCCACTGACAGCAGGATCATAGTAGTAGGCGCTGTCATATGGGTATCTGTAGTAGTATACGGACCTCTTGTCGACTGGGTGGTCGACAGAGACCTTATTGATGGACTCGGTGGGTAAGGCGTAGCAAGCCGCCAACGCGAACAAGAAGAGAAGGAATACACGGTTCATCTGAAATTAAAATAATTATTAATATTTGCATCTTGTCGAAAACATTTTCAAGGTATGCTGCTTGAGTACGCTACTTTATATAACCTTCAAAAGCCTAAACCAGACAATTGCTGTCTCTAATAAATTAAACACTCTAACACTCTAAATAGTTAAAAAACATCAAACTTTGCTATTTTTAGTAATTCAATGTCAAAGTATAGAATGATGCCTGTTTTTTCTTACCTTTACTAGTTGTGTGTTGTCACAGAACTGATGCACTCCACCAAGAGAATGGTCTTTTTATATTATTCACTGATGATAAGATGAATTTATCCCTATATTAAAAAAATATTAGTGGGCATAACCGAAATGCAAAATGGGAGTTATCATCAAATAACATTATAATAATGTGAAATGAAATTAATGTCATTAAGTAATTACTTTCAAAGTTTGACTAATTATTAAACAAATACTAATTAGTCGTTGTTTAAATACAAAGAGTGTTTTATGACAAAACCTCTGACTAAAGATAAAGAGTTAAATAAATTGACAACTTTGTCTACAGAGATAGGGTTATGGTTAAATATTTTTTATTTAACATTTTATTGAGAGAATTTTAAGTTAACCAGGCGTATATAAAAAAATTTGAACGCACACGCAGGCTTAATATAAATTTTGTGACCAAACGCAGAATCATTAAGAGTAGGGTTTCAGCAATCCATAAATTTTGATGTCAATAATTCAGGAAGACAATGAGCGCTTTGGTAGCTATGCAGCAGATAAAATAGATGCCAGTTTTAAAAAAGTGGGGCTTATTAGCATAAAAAATTACCATAAAACAATTTGATTAATTAATTTTAAAAATATTGTGTACATATAAGAAAATATTCGTGGTCACTTCCACAATAAACTAATGAATGTACTCATTTATGATTCTTCATTGAGACGTAATCACATCTTTCAAGAGAAAATTTGTCGAACAAAATAACATATAGAGTAAACCAAGTAAATCGAATTAATTGGTGAGAATTGGTCCCATGAAATCTTGACGATCACGTTGATATGGATCAAGTAGCGGGAACAGTGTCCATGCTTTTAGAAATAATATGATCAACGGAATTCCATTTCCATTTCTTGGTAGAATCTTAATTTGACAGATCCTGAATCCTTTAATTACCATTTACGTCATATCAGCCATTTTTCGGGTCAAATCAAAACACTAAATCAATCAAAAGTATTTAATTGGGAAAAAGTACAATGAGTAATGCTCATAACGGATTTGATTAATAAAAACGTATTCGAAAAAATTTCTAACAATGATTGACATTTGAATACCTTCGTAGCCGAGTGGTTTGCACGCCGGTTTTAAGGCGTCGCCATGTCTGAGGTCCCAAATTCGAGTTCAGAACTTCGATTGATATCCCGATTAAAAATCTTATGTGACTATCCTACGTTTTTATCTCGTACATATCTCAAGTATTTAACGATATACACGTGACAGAAATTATGATCTGACTAGGTACACATATTGAAAGAGTGTGTTATCGTTTTACATTAAAATGCATTTTTAATTATACAACACATTAATGTGATATCTTATGTTTTAGCTCTAGAAAAGAAAATTTATTCAGTTTGGTTTTTGACGCCAAACAAAATTATTTTTAAAGTATTTTAAACTAACAAATAGGAATGAAATGATTCAAGTAAATACAAGTGCTTACTCGATACTTTTCTTTTGATACCAAGTATTTTAGTATCGATACTTTATAACCTAGTAATAACAAGTAGTACCGTGTAATAAGTATTTTTATCGGTACTTGGTCGGCCACTCACTGAGAAAAGTCATAAAACTCCCGTGAATAAGACTGTTTACCTGTGGCAAAGTGTCTAAAGACTGTCCTATGAAAAAGTCTCTAAAGCGCGGCGTCCCTGTCGTAAGTCGAAGCATTGCTAATTCCTTATAATCTTATGTAGTTAGAAATCTATCTACAGAGGACACTGCCAATAAAATTTTGAATAACTATATGCATCACTAAACAAAAACCAGTCGCATCACGCTAAACCAAATAAAATAAAAAATTTCACTCATCCCGTGCCTAGCTTTTCCAAACGTCGCTTAACCCTAATCTAGTAGATCAAACGCTTTAACCACTTGTACACGCGTAACCATAAACACACACACCTTACTTCATAAACAAAAACATATTAAATTAAGAAAAAAATGGTTTATATTGCGGATCTGCGAGAATTGCATCGCGCTCCATTGGATGCAATCTAAATCAACAATCCATTCGACTTCGAGCCATGACTAAAGACCGTAGGATGAGGAGGATAACAGATTATTTACATATTTTAGTAAATGCCTAGTTTGTGTGAAATAAGTTTATGTGATTTAAATAAGCGATTATTAATTTATGATATACTTATTTACTTTTATTATTTATTACATTGTGTAACAATTCAACGGAGTTCAAATATTCTCATAAACTTTTTTTTTGAAACTCAATATTACGTTATTGATCATTAAACATTACTAAAATTGTTTTAAAAAATTTCCATGTCTAAATTTTACGATCAAAACATCCTACTGAATTTAATTTGATTTCGTTTGTTGACATATTTTAAAACCCTTTGACAGTGACCACTGCATACTGTTATTTTTGCTTCACGTTCCTCCCCTTAACTGCTGTGACATTATTGTCGAATTTCATCATTTTTTCGCAAACTGTTTAAAAATGATTTTCGATAATACTTTGGTATGATCTAGATATAATCTAACAGCTATATTAACACTTCATGGTAAACATAGCTGTTAAATCCACAATGTTGTTATTCTTATCTTAATGCTCACTAAGATGGGATTTTATGAAATTCGACCCCTAAGGGGATAAATTAGGGGATGAAAATTTGTATGAAACTAAAAGTGCTAGGAATTTCAAATTTTGCATCCGGGCTCTTTTTAAGACGTAAGTGCTCACTAAGACGGGATTTTATGAATTTTGGGGTCAAATTAAGGGAGTAAATTAGGGGATGAAAGTTTGTATGAAACTAAAAGTGCTAGGAATTTTTAAATTTTGCATCCGGGCTCTTTTTAGGACGTAAGTGCTCACTAAGATGGGATTTTATGAAATTCGACCCCTAAGGGGATAAATTAGGAGGTCAAAGTTCTTATGGAATTTTCTCATTTTTGGACTTAAAACTAGATCGCGAGGGTAAAGCCGCTGGCGTAATTCTATATATTGATGGAATCCGTATGTAGCTTATAAGATCTCAACTTATAGAGCGCGGGAAGCTCCTTTGTTTCATACTGTGTTTAAATGTTACATATGCATTATTAAATAAATTATTAGGAACAATAGTACAAAAATTATTACAGTAACAGGTTTAACCAAATATGTGTCAATATATGAAGATGGCGGGACGGCGCTCAGTGGTTAGGCCTCCCACCAGGTGGACCGACGATCTTATAAAGGTGGTGGGAAGCCGTTGGATGCTGCACAGGACCGATCGTCGTGGAAATCTATGGGGGAGGCCTATGCTCAGCAGTGGGCGTCTTACGACTGAAGATGATGATGATATGAAGATAATTGTCAATATTTCAGTTAAGTTAAAATAAAAACATATAATTACTATTCACATATTTATTTAGATGCCGTCAAACAACAGTCCTTATGTAGTCCTCTTGTTTAGATGTAATACCGGTAGGGGTATACGGTATCGTAGAAATATGAGCCATATGGGTATCTGTAGTAAGGGCTGGCGTAGCGGTACAACAACGACCGTTTGTCGACGTTGTGCTCCTCGGTGGGTACGGCGTAGCATACTGCCACCACGAACAGGAACAGAAGGAATACACGGTTCATCTGGAAACAATGACGAATTGTTAACATTTTAAAAGCAAATACATATATAATTTTAATTTACGAAGACGTTTTCAGTAAATCATTTTTTTTACCATAATGACATCTTGACTTTTTCTTTTTCAATCTAGCTTAAGAACATGAATGAGATCTACGGTAATTCGAGCTTATAACAGTTCCTACAAATGCATACACACATGCAAAAAAAACAATTATGATATCCAGCGGTCACAAAACAGTTACAAAAAACTTGATACATTTTCATATGGTCTATTCCAAAAGTTTCCAATTTACAAAACAATTTTGCGACACAATAAATTTTAATTAAAATTCGTTGGGTGTCTGAAATTTCCCGTTATTTCAATTATATTTTATTCAAACTTTATTTTATAATTGATTGATAGCAAGTTTGCAAAAACAATTTAGCATAAAATTAAATAACCGCTGTTAAATGAAATTTTAATGTATGAAGTATTTCTCTTACCTTTACTGGTTGTATGTTGTCACAGAACTGATGCACTCCACTAAGAGAATGGTCCTTTTATATTATTCACCTATGATGAGATGTATTTTCCCTTTATTATAAACTTATTAGCGAAGAGTGAAATGGGAATTGTCATTAAATAGTACTATGTAATAATGTGGAATGTCATTAACGACAAACGGTTGTTAATACAGAAATTCTAAAAACTAGACATTTCTAAGATATACAAACAGTATTGAGCACCAGAAGCATCGAACTTATAGGCGGAGAGCTCGCGATATAACATGTGCAAGATCTTTCTCTTGTACATTTTAGTCACGATACGATTTTCGCATCCCTGAAATTCATTTACTCTTTATGTAAATACTTGTTAATTCTATGGCTTCTAACGTCACCTTCCGATAACAAGATTAATTTGACCGTAAAAAGTGTTTTTTAGTATTGATGCAAATCTGCGGAATAATCGTCAGCGTCTCATGGAAGTATGTGTCAGTGCGCGGTCAAATGTCCTATCTTTTAATTAGTCTGTTCTGACATTTGGTAGATGCTAAAGTGGTCCATCAGCAGCGCCTTAGTGACCACACTCGAATAATTAATTCTGAAGGAAGAGGCACTCACTCACTAATATTGGAGGCAGAAGCAATAATGAGCATCCTACCATTATTAACCTAGATCTTCATCAATCTTCATCATATTCTAGAACCGTTGAGTACGCTAAGTCCTACCAACATCATAGTTTTGTGGACCAAGAGTTCAAGCAAAAAGGTTTGAGGTAGATGACCTCGTTCTAACAGTAGATGAAAATCTACCACGTGATATTGTATTTAAATCATTAATTAAATAAAGAAAGCTGTTTTTTCTGAGACTTCTATCTCTATAGATTTTATTGCCATCCGAGGAGTAAGTTCGTGGGGTAAGTCTAGACAGATTACTCAAGAAGTAAGGGACAGGATTGCGTATTAACGCACCCCACCCTTTTGCTGGAGCTAGCGCCAATGGCTGGCAATCGCCCGCACATCGCACAGGTTTACCAAACTGATGAGGGGTCTTCATACTCTGAATATCTTCCGTATGCAATAAGGGTAACCAGAAATCCCAGTCTCATCGTCGTCAGCCCGGAATCTACGACCATGTATACGGGCGTAGCTTAGGGTTTTATGTAAACAGGTCTCCGCCCTTTGACCTGCTTGGTGAACCTCGCACTGGTAAGTAGGCTATCGGGGGTGAGCCCCACATATTTCTTACCGTTTGCAGTCAGGTTATAAATGTATACCTCATACATTTTCTTCAATTAAAATATAAGATAGTACAAGAAAATGGTTTCCCAAGACTATATCTTGTCATTGAGCATATTGTAATTGGTTTTAAATAAGAGAATTTCAATATTCGTTTTATGTTAAATTAATTTTAAGACGTTGTGTAAACTTTTCGAATTACAGTATTTTTTAAACATATGTATAATAACTTTTTCATCATCTATAAAAATCTGTTCACAGTCACGTACCCAGCCTTAGCTGAGCTAGGGTGACAGGTTAGCAATTGTAAATAATCATTAATAAAATATAGTGAAAATCAACATAATTAAGATATAAAAAAAAATATTACTACTCTTATTTTTGAAATGGTAAAACGTTACATTATTTTTAATGAATTCTTGTTTTCTTATCTCATGCGATCCATTATTTTTACCTTTTTATGAGGTGGATGAATTAAAAATATCTTATATATATAAATTAGCTTATAAATATGGTTTTATGTCTATTTCTCTGTTCTGTGGTTAATATCTTATTTATCATAGCATTTTTCAATTGATGTGCTGTTTCTGTCGTGCGTACTTACTAATTAAGCTGAATCGCATTCTTCGTATATCTTTTAAACATTTTTACACATTTTGTGATTGATTTGTTTATTTTATTTAAATATCTTTGTATATATATTTATTTATATATTCTCTGTTAATTGCTGATGATGTAGCTTTTTATAGATGAAAGAATTTTTAAAACCATTCCGTTAGTTTTGATTTGTCAGTTACAAACATATCAAACCTCTTTAAAATATTAGTATTGTTAAACCTAGTATGAAATGCCATGAATAGTACGTTTTTTGTCCTCTTGTTTGCAATGATGCTGGTATCATATAATATCTTGAATGATCTATCATATCCATAATCCGACGATGGTACGATTATTATTTCACAAGTAAATATATCAAATATCAATTTCGAATTATTACACCGAAGTGGAATTAGTTTTCACATTCAAACCCTATTTCAATTTGGTTAAATCTATTTACAAACTTATATCATCATATATAATTCGATACAGAAATATAGGGATGTGATACCGATTAATCGGCTTATGATTGCTCCAAATCTTTGGATTTGAACTTTACCAATATCAATAAAACAAACAGAAACTGTAATTACTATTTGCAATAATTTATTTTTCTATAGAATCGTCTAAGTAGTTTAATATGATCAATATACGGTTGGATAAAATCCGTGTATCCTGTAGAAAAAATCTGGGTCGTATACCGTTCGAAAACCGTAAGGATGGTCCAGTTTCATGAAATGACGGTCCGGGTAGACCAAAGTTTCGCCTTTCATGATTTCTGAAAGCTCAGGGTAGTCGAACGCCCCGTTTTTGATAATTTCAGGATAGATTGGTTTGCTCTTGATGATTTCAGGTACCTCACTCTTGATTAAATTAGGGACCTCTGGGTAGACCAGTGGGGTGGATAGGCCCAGCGGCAGTATTGCCCGTGTACCAATTTTGCCGTATTCCGCCTTCCATTCTTGTTCCATTGGCTTTGCCGCTACAGCGGCGATGAGGACGAAGGCGATGTAGAATTTCATCTATTGAATTAAAAATACATTAACCTTAGAAAATATGCGCACAAGACCATACGCAAAATATTGAAGAATTAGTTCTCTAGTTTGTATGTATGAACCCAAGTCTTTAGTTATGATGAAACAATTCACACTATAAAAGTAATCGAATATAAAAAAAAACAACAAAAGAAAGATTCAAGTCTCACGAATGGAAAATTCCGAAGATCAAAGTTAGATTAAAGGTCAAATTAATCTTAAATACTTTTTTCTTCATACATTCAGTTTTAATTTTATGTTTAGGTACGTGCCAATTTTTTTTATATATATAGAAAGTATAATATTTTTTTAACCATTACCAGTGCTTCAAGCGACCAGTAAATTATGAATTGTATTTACATAAAAAAAAACTAAAGCATGAAAAATTGTTAAATACAACTTCAGATATTTCAACAGATAATGTTTTTTCTCACCTTGGTTTCTAGAAGTTTCTGAGAGAACTAATGATGATTGAGTTAATATACAGTGTTTTATACCCAAAATTCTAATAACACCTAAACATCATAAAACAATTAAAAATGTAATAAATTACCTATAAATAATAAAGCAATGTTTACCGCAAAATTAATATTCACTAAGTAAACTAGTGCAAAGCCGGTTTATATGACAGAAAATTGAATTTGTACATCATAATTAGGCAAATAAAGTACAAATGGAATATAAGTATAAACAAGCACAAAGTTGGTTGGTAAGTATTTCCAAGCAAAATCTGCAAAATACTATTTTGCTGAAACTAAGTAAAAATAGCGCTGTGCAATTTGTCTATTTGAAATACTGTGATTTGAGAAACACAATAAATTTTTTAAATTTCTATTTGCTGATTATAGTACGATAAGCATCTATGCCTACCGAGAACGAATATACAATTTGCTCTCTTATTCTTAGACTCTGTTAGAATGCACTCATCTCTATCGATGCCTTAGTGAATTCGATTGAAAACTAGGTAAGTCAGATCTTAGGATAAATTGTTATAAAATAGTTTATATTGTTAGAAATCAATTTCAAGACTGACTTGGCACCCATTTTACATTTATGTTTTTGGTGGTATATAGTATCATGTTTCATTTTCATTTTTAATGTAGTACTACATATGCATGAGTATTTTTGATGCAAATAATTGATATAATATCTATTTGTATTAAGTATCAAATAAGCTTTTTAGGAAAATAATAAAGTATCAAGCATATTCAACATATTCAAGATTTTATATTCGTATTAATGTATTTAAATATAGTTAAATGATAGTTTACACTTACTGCAAATAAATTTTTAACGCGTTTGTAGAAAACTAGTTTTTATTTATAGAATTTTTCGATGGCTCGCCATATTGGATTTAAAGTTTATTAATCGTTTTTTAAAACTATATCGCTACAGTGCTCAATATGATAGGTATCTAAACTGTCATTTTGGGCTGCCTACTTTATAACTACGATAACCGTACATTATCACAAACTAAACTTGAATGCAAATTTTTGAGATAATAGTTTGAAGATAATTACTTTATAATTGAGTAACATGTAGGTATAATAAACATACTCAACAGACACTTTATGTGTATCTGTGAAATAGAAAAAAATATATAAAATCATGCAAATCGTAAAACGCAATCGTAAATATAAGTATATGTTTTTACTCTTACATCGTGTAGACGCATTATCAAATTTGTTTGGTTTGGAGTTAATTACGAATTAATAAAGTTTCAAATTTTGTGATCATCTTGAATGGAAATAATTGTTTCTGTATGTTTTTCTTTTTTACTGCGACTGTTATAATTTATATTAAATTATATGTTCTTTCCAACATTTTCAACAATAATTTTTAATTCTGCCAATTCACACAAAACTTTTTTGTTAAAAGTCTATGAAAGTCCGTGTAGTGAGTAGGTCACACATAACGTAACGATCTATTTTTGCTCTCTTTATTTATTTTAAAATGATTTCATGTGTTAAGCGGGATGCCACCTCCCTTTCTTAATAACGAGTAGGTTAATAGTCAGGTTAGGTACTATCAGCCGGTTTCTGAATCGTGAAACGTACAAAATCTTAACTGATTATTGTCAATAACTTAATTTTTTACGTTTCACAAGTCAAAAAATCCAAGATTTATCAATCTGCTATCAACTGATCATTAAAAAAAACTAAAATAAGTAACAAAAACATGTTAAAACGACATATAAGTAGAATTTGAGAGGTTCTTAACTTTAAATACTTTTTAATATATTTGATCAATTTTGCTTTCACAATTCTATACTGTACAATACTGTATAATGCTTAAAAAATCCACCAGCCCCAGTATTCTGAGATGGGACTCAAACCCACAACCTTTCGCAATCCGGACGCCTGCTCTAACCACTACCAGTTATCCAGGACCTAACAGGAGTAACGAATAATAATAATTAATATAAGAATTAATAATTAGTTGCGAAAAGTAATAAATGCTTGAAAGATTTTTCGAGCAATTGTTACTTTTTGATCAATTCAGAAACCAGGTTTATATCTCGAAATTTGTGTTTGTCTTAATAGTTCAGGATTTATAGTGTGTTTTTCCGGATTTTGAAAATCTGGAGTTTTTTAGCTTATATTAATGAATATCCATATTGTACAAATGAAATCACCACTTCTTTAAACATTTAGAAACTATTATTAGTTAGCGCAGTTTTTTCATATTTACTGTAGTGATATTTGAATAAGATTCTAGTTTAATTCTTTATAAGTAAATTAGGCTTTTTAAATAATGAATAAGCTTTGAGAGAAATTCAAACTTCATACTTAGAATAAAAATTCCAGGATCGGGCAATTTTCAGTCTTGTACCATAAATTAGGCTGATTAACTGTATTAGATTGTATAAAACAGGTATTAACGCGATAGATTTCGATAACTATCGAATATAAAGCAATGCGAAAGTTTAAAAATGATTAAGTGTATTTGCTACAATATTTTTAAATCTTAAAATTAGTAACTTAAACTTATTTACTAATTTGATGAACCAATTTGTATTATTAACAGGTTATGCGACTGTTAATATTTATACAAACGTACAGTATGATATTGTAAAATGTAGCTGTTTATTTCTATTCATCACTATCGTCATTTGCCTATTAATGTTCTCAGTGCTCCGAGAATAGCCCTTCCTAATGTATGGGATCAAATAGACAGAAGGGCCTATGTATCCTAACAAGCTGCTTAGAAAGTGCTGATTGGTAGGGCTGTTACAAGTTTATGTAATGTCAAAACTTTATCCAATCGATTCGCAAATTTACCACCGAAAATCTTGTACTAAAAGGAACCGGCAAGAAAGTTGTAAATAGAATTCCGATTGAAAAATAACTTCATCAGGTTATGAAGTGACTTTCCGTTTCAATATAAAAAGATATAAAAATATGTTGTTACCATATCAACTTTGGTAATTTTTGAAATAAAATATGTATAGAATTATAGACCTACCGAAATGACACTTTGAGTGTAAAGTATTTTAATCATCTTTATATCCAGAGACCTTACAAACTTTCTTTATTTTTATTTTTTAATAGTAGATAAAATTTTATATAAATATAATTATTATTATTGTTTGGGACTTTATTTCGAAAGCGCTAACATACGCCATCCGGTATCTTAAAAAATGGAAACGTTGACAAATTTGAAATTACGCTCCACCGAAATTGCCTGTAAAAGATTTTCATATAGATCAATTTAGTATGTTAAGGTATATGTAATAAAATATTGCTCTTGTTATTGAATAAATACAGTTAAAATATTGTTGACTGGGAAGAAATGCCCACAGCATTAAACCGACCTTGTGCATTTATGCAAAAAAAATAAATAAATTACTAACTTTAACCGAATTAAAAATTACCTTTCAAATTCAGGCAACTATTACTCTAAAGACTCGAGTGACTTTTATTTTTTTTATTTATTTATTCTTTATTGCCTAACTAAGGACAAATGGCGGACTTAATGCCATAGAGGCATTCTCTCCCAGTCAACCAGTTAGATTGTACAGAACAGTAGTAGGCGGTAAAGATTAAAAACGGTACATAAAAACGTAACTATAAGCATTAGCATATATACATACAATACATATACGCATATATACATAATATTAATATACATACATTATATATACATATACATTATAAGATATAACGAGTACTGAAATGGTGGTATCTGATTATGAAATGGAAGTAGACAGGAAATAGTGGTTTCACGGTATCGTGTTGTCACAATTCCTGAGGTCCCTTCTCTGTGTGTTGTAGTAGTATCTTCATCATCATCAGCCCTTTTACGTCCCCACTGCAGGGGCTCAGGCCATGATCTTCCACGCTGGCCCAATGCGGGTTGGAGGGTATTAACGACTACAAATGCAGTCGGAACCAACGGCTTCACGTGCCTTCCGAAGCTCGATATAATAATTTTTTGGTCACCCATCCCGTGACCGACCCTTGAAAGTTGCTTAATGACAACGATCTAGGGCCACGGCGCTTATCCACTACAACACCGAGCTACTTCTACTAGTATCTTCGATACTTAAGATTTTTATAAAACAAATTCTTAAAACTATAAGTCTTTTGAGATTTAGATATTCAATCAAAGATTTATGCAATGCAGGTGATATTCTCAAATATTTGTTTATGCAGGTGCTTTCAAGCTACAACCTTTTCTTTATAAAAACGTAACAAAATAATCGTTCAAATAAGTTTATACCAATGGTTATTTAATTTATCTTATTCAGTACATGATTTTCATAAACATTATTAGTAATAGTAAACTTTAACGTAAGGATTGTATCAAAATTAACTAACAAACGTTCGCACTTTTATAGTTAGATATTCTCTAAGTGAAATTTATGTTCACTCACCAATATAACAGTAAACTATGAGGCTGTCCTAATATCCCTTCGTCTTCAGGGAGACATAAAACGGATTCATTTGTATGTCTTCGAAGAGTTGCATGTCTCCAGAAACGCAATTGATCCCCTGAGACACTTCTACCTTCGACTACATACTATTGTCGATGCATTTTTTATTGGCATCTTTGTATAATAAATGTTACATCTTTTAAGAACCAATGAAATTATACAGAGGGTTATTTCCTCAGCCGTGTATTTTTATAGAGTAAAATACATTTATATATCTACTGATAATGTAGGTTCGACAATATTTTTACAAAAACTGTATCATGGATGATCCATCCACTAGGCGCTTGTGATTGAAAGACAGAGATGGACGATGTCAGAAAAATAGGACTTCATCAAAAAATATCCCTTGTCTATTTTTTGGTAATACTGTATAATCTGGCGTAGTTTTGCTAGCGAATAGTGTAATTTTCTTGAATAAGAATGAATGAAGAATGATTTAATGCTTTAGAATGTAGTTGGTTAGTTCATCTTGACGTTTTTAAAACAACTCTTTATTTAAATGTATTACCATTTGTAAAACTTTTATGTTTATTTTCACTAAACTTAGGAGTCGCCCAAATCTGTTGCCTAAATTTTTAGGAATCGTCTAAAGTGAAAATGCACATGACAACATTAAAAAATGTTTTAAATCATGCAATATACGGTGCCTTAAGTGTCAAGGAATGGAAAGAAAAAATGTTTATTTGGAATTAAACTAAGCTGCTTAGGCAATTCGTAAGATTAGGTGTTTTCTAGTTAAGCTAAGCCTAGTTAGTAAAAACGGGCGTTAAATATGTAAATAAGAATAAAAAATTCATAGAAGATATAAAAAATACTATTTTATCATTCCGGAAAATAAATTATAAACGTTATTATAACAATAACAAGGGAATTTTATAAATAAAATAATATAAACATTTCAAAAATCTTTTTTTTTAGTTATATTTATGAAGATTCGACCTGTTTGTAAGAGTAGACGAAAGGCTTAATATCCTTCAGCATAACCATAGGTGTTGAAAGTGACATTTTGTAGGAGAGTGGTACCGCCGCTCCATAGTCTAAGTACCGGTAATTCATCGGCTCCGGGGCTACCAACCGGTAAGCTGGGTTAGTTTCGATCAGCCTGTATTGTCCATCCTCTGACCATTTGAGTTCCGGCGCTGCCATGGCGACGCACACGCATAATGCAACAATTATAAGTTTCATCTGAAAGTATCAAATATGGTAAACATATTAATAAAAGTTTGAGATCGATATATTTTTATATGGATTTGTAGTCGCTTAAAGAGCTGAAAGATACTAGTACATATATAGTGATGCGCCGCCAGAATTATAATAGCTCTTTCAACAAGTCTATAATATTCCTGGTTTTTTAATTATTTTTCTCTTTTGGGACGATAATAATTCTCTGACATTATGAAGGCGTATAAGTAATATCAGCTATAACGACAATTTCAGTCAAAAGGAAAAGGAAAAACTAATATTATAAATGCGTAAACTAAGAAAGAAATACATAAGTATAAAAGCAATTGGGACGCAAGCTTGAAATTAATCTTCATTTAAAGCTGGAGTGTCCACTCCCGACTTCGGTTCAAAAGGGGCTTGATTAAAAGAAAGTGTCCCGGCTGTACTTGACATTTCTCAGTTCAAAGTGGAGAGAAAAAAAATCAAAACCGGCAGTTATTAACACGGACACCCTCGGCGTTTCATCTATTGTACGTTCCACGTTGACCCCTTTCATTTTTTAATTTAATTCAGAAAGACTTTAATATAAATATATATCAGACAACGTATTCATCCATTCCTGACGTGTAAAACAAAATATATTTTTTTATGTTTACAATATTAAGTTTATCTTAAAATGCAAAATATCACATGTTAGAAACAAAATTGTGTAAACAACTAAATAAACAACAAATTATATACAACTGAAGTTGTTACTTTCTCTTACCTTGATGTAGATGTTTAGGATTTCAAGTTAATAGTGACTATAAAATCTTTTGCTTTGACTTTTATATGATGCAAATAACGTAATTAATATTGCACTTAATTAACAAAATAATGGCTAATTGTATCTGTGATGATATTAATATCAAAAACTATTTAAACGTAGTTCAAGAATGTTCACAGCCTCATAAATTTTTACTGTCGCTAGATGCCGTTGATGTTGTAATTTTATATTTTTTAGCTGTCTTCTTATGACTTCGTCAGTGTAATTTAAAGCTTATGTCATACACGTATGGTGTAGCTTCTTTCTTGTCTAAGTTGAATAACAAAAACAATTGAAAGTCGATATTCAAATGTTTCACATTTTTTTAAAAGAAGAACATCATAGAAACCATTTGAAAAAAGTTTCTTTCGAAAACCTCAAACCATGAAGATTCTATGTCAATTTAAGGAACCTGTTAAAATAAAACGGCAATTTCAGAATGAAATCCCTTATAATTTACGATATTATTGCTTGAATTGAGCATCACATTATACTTAATAACAAATCTTCTGGACTCTTGGAAAATGGACGCTTAGTGCGAGCAATCGGAAATTTGGCAACGTATAGTAGATAGGTAGACTAACGTTCGCGCTTCGATCAGGTTTACTCGGAATTTCTTGTCAGTTACCCGGACCTATGGACAGGACCGGACTACGCGAGAGGAACCTTTGGCGGCTGAATAGCTCTAAACTTGCCGGCCTCTCGTCCAGGTCGATGAAGAATCAAAACCAGTTCCCTTCGATTAATAAAGGGAGGTTAGCCTCAATATAGTGTTTTGGGGCTAGTGGTAAGGGTTTCCAAATACTGATAGACCAGCAATCCTAATAAAAGCCTAATTTTGACGATTGGAGTCCTATTAATATGGATGACGATTAATAATTTTTGTTTGGTGTGTCCGTCAGGCAGATTGTTTAAAAATATTAGACACATATTTTTTTCGTAATCATTAAATTACGGCGATGCATTGAGTTAAAATGTCACATGACGTCACACTTTAGCACATCTTCTACAAAACTGTGATATAGCGAGTCAACTCAAATATTTATTCTATTATCTGACCGACGGATTAAACAGAATTTCTTTTTTTTACCCAGTCGACATCCCTATTAGAAAAAGACAATGATTTAGTAAAATTATTTGTGACAGCACTAAATCGTAAGACCTTAAACCTGTTAGCGAGCTGACAACAACACTTATTAGCCGCTCACGCTTCTCGCAGCTAACTTAATTATTGTTTGTGACTCAAAACGCGCTTTGAAATTCCTAGAAACCCACGCTGTTTCTTACTTTTTACACTAAACGAGTTATTATTTCATTAAACACAAGAGATTTTGATTTATAATCAAAATATTGATTACAAGCTACAGTGAAGTGCATTTAAAATATAATCACGGATAAACCCACCATACTTATGCGGGGGCGCGCCACCTGAAACATTATTAATTAGAGCTTCTATAAAACTCCCAGCGGGGTACAAAATCCCACAGTGTCTAAGCCGAGGTGTTGATCATAAGCATAAGCGATCACTTTATTTTTTAATAATTTGTAATAATAGGGCATATATTTATACTTTGCTAAAATGATATAGAGAACCCCGGAAATTAAAAAAAAAAAACAGAATTTCGAAACAAGCATGTTTCTTTTGATAAATTCATCCCAAGTAAATCAAAACTACTTAAGTAACCGACATTTAGTTCGCTAAAGTTCGATTATGTATTTTTTATTTGTTTGTTTGGTCTTGATGGTGTATATTTCTTTCAAGGGCCATAAGAGTTTCAGGGATATCTGGTGCTACAATGTCATCGGAAAATAACAGCCGAGATGCGCTTTTGATATCACCTTCACTTATTTTGGTTTCTACGTAAAGAAATACTGATTTTGGTTTGGTTCTATTGGGTAATTTGACGGAAAGTGTGTATTTGTCTTCTGGCAATTTTCTTTGATAATAACTGTTAGATATTTTGGGGTTGTTAGTATGATCTGAATAAGCGTGAAGAATTTGTAAGCAAAGGTGAATAGATGTTCAATTTTTGTTCTTTGTCTGTTTTAAAGGGTGAACGATATCTGTAGACCGATTTCTGAAATTATTTAGTCATTCAAGAACTGGGCTGGCCATAAAATTACTATCGATATCAGATTTTGTTTTTATAAACATACACAACTTGAATCATTCTTCCAAATAACAAAATGTACAGTCAATAGCATGTTAGGTTATACAAATCTATCAAATTTCTCCACTTGATTTAAACCTTAATGTGTTGTATGTAGAATTTAAAATCAACTCAATAAATGTGTAACCTTACGTGCTATTATAAAAAATTATGTGGTATTACGTAGTATTATATGTAGTACCTAATGATTAAAGTAAAAAATCGTATATATGGGTGTTGAAAAAAAAGAAAACATTATCTTGTAAAGCGAATTTAATTAAAAAACTTTTTTCCTTAAATAAAATTAAAGGTAACATTAACATTATGAAATTTAAGTAAATCATTTTTAAGTTTAAGTTAAGGCTTTTGACTTATGAATGTTTTCTACGCAATCAAATTAAAATAATTAAGTATTTTTGTTTATCCTAACTCTCCTAAGTTTGAATTCTTAAGTGTATATGATTGTATATACATGAGATTATGTATTTATATATGTGTTATATATCTATATATATAAAAAATTTGTGTCACGAAGTATGTTGCCAATAAACCCCAAAACTGCTGAACCGATTTCTATCAAATTTCACATGTATCCGTATTTTGGTCTAACTTACAGGATAGGATAGTTATCATCTCAATTATTCTCTTATGTCGTGAATGTAAACAAATAAAATGTTCTAATTAATTGTTTCTTAAGCAAGTGTTTATTTACTGTTTAGTTTTATGAAGTTCTCATAAATGGCGGTGTACGTTGATTCATAGATAAAATTTTTCAATATCGTTTGACATCTAGGTTGCAAATACACCCAATAGATGGCGCTGTGTTCTAGATGGCGTTTATTCTAATGTAATCTGCGGTAACGTTTCTTTCAAAGAATTTTGCGTAGATTACGTTTTCGATTAAGTTTTGTATAAACTTCAGAACTGTTTTTTTCATCTTTATTTCAAATTACATTGAATTTGATTAATATCTCTAAAGTTTCAAAGATAAAGTGCTGAAACATATTGGACATTCGTTGGTATTTTGTTGTACTATCTTCGAACTTAAACATCAAGATAATTTCATCATCAGCTCAAAAAACAACAGCGTTTTTGGAAAATATGATGCCCAAAGTAACTATATCACGCGGACGAAGTCGGACAAAAGCTAGTGTATTTATATATTTGACTATGTATATTTATGTATTTATGGATATTATACCTGCTTAACCATTAATGTTTTTTATTATGATAGGGAATTCTTAATGCACCATAGACTACCCAATTTTTCTATTGTATCCTGTAAATATGTTAAAATTGCACGGAGGAAATTGCTTTTTAGCAATAAGGCCGCCAATTGAACGGTCTGTTACATTATTACGTACTGTTCATTTACTTATGGTGTGTGCAATAAAGAGTCTTTAATTAATTAATTCATTCATTCAAGTGCTTTTAATTTAGTTATTTGTCATGCATTAAAAAAATTACATTATTTCCAAGTGTTCCGCTTAAGCTTATAATTTAGAGTACGACTAACTAGACTTTTACTAAACTCTATTACAAAATTGATGGCTAGACCCTGGAGCTAACGTAAGCTTATAAAGTATACGTCACTTTTATTAATCTTCAGTTATGATTGATATTACCAAAGTAATGTAGAATAACTCACGGCGTTAAGGTTATGCACAATACTTTAATATAGTAACGGTAATTTTTTAATAGATCTACAATAAGGTTGTTTTGCATAAAAAAAAGTAATAATTAAAAGTTTTCGTTGAAGTCGCTGATCGTTCTGTGGAACATTTTATAATTAGAACTCTCAACTGTAACCTCATTTTTTGTCATTTTTTTATTCTTTAAATATGTATAAGCCATTAATGTGTGTATTTACTTTAACTATTAACACAAATTAAAAATTTATAAAATAATGTATTTATAAGTGATACTAGTGATGATTTTTATGATATATACATTTTTTATTTTCAATAAAAGATGGAGCTGTACATTTAGTGTATCGCGGTGTTATGTTTTGTTCAAAAAGGTCAGTT